TATCAGCACGGCGGGACGGGTTCATCCCAGCGCTGTCCCCACATCTCCCCACAAGCCCCGGGGATTCTGGCAAGGCTGACTCCACCTGGAGATGCCACCCTGCTCGCTTGGCAGGACAGGACAGAGGGCACCGGAGCACGTGCAGCAATTCAGCCTTGACGTCTCTGCAGAGCCGGGAGCCCTCAGCCTGGCCCTGACAGCCAGCCCGGACCCCCACCCTGCCCTCTGCCAGTACCCACGTCCTCTTCCAGTGCTCCTGCCACAAGCAACGATCCCCAGCACGGGGCTGCAGAGCCCAGGCAGCACCACTCCCGCCCAGCACGCCCGCATTGCCCACGGAGCGATGTCTGAGCGCAAACAGCCAGCAAAGATGGAGACAGAACTTCTCTAGGGTCAACCCCCGGGGTAGGTGGAAATCCAGGGGAAACCCTCAGACAGAGTCTTCCTCATCCCAGTCCCAGCTTTTGGGAGGACACCTAGGGATGCTTCCTCCCACCGCTCCCACCCGCTGCCTGCCTGGAAGCCTAAAAGCGAGAGACGACAGGAGGCCGGAGCTGCTGGAGGCACCAACAGCCTCTAGAGCACTGCTGAACTCTCTCAGCAACACCCTCATCCATGCTTGGACTGGAAGTGGTGTGGCAGGGGCCCGCTGTCCCTGCCCTGTGGGCACCCTGCAGCATCCTTCAGCCACGTGTCCACCCAGACCAGGCACTTGGAGATGGTGGGTAGAAGCAGGCCACCTTCCCCAGCAGACTCACCCTGGGGACATGCTGCCTTCTGCTGTCCACGTCATGTTTGACCCAGCTGAGCACAGCCCGGTACACCTCCTCCTCTGATGGCACATTCAGGCTGTCACTAGAAATGAGGTCCAGCACCTGCGGAGCGGGGTGGAAAGGGCAAGTGTCGGTTGGTATGGTCTGGGAGGAAAGGAGACATTGATGCACCCAGGTGGCTGGCCCAGCAGAAGAGCACTGCCAGAGGCAGAGCCCATGCCTCCTGTAGATGCTGGAGGTGGAGGGACACACAGCTACTGTCTCTGGCTGGCGCAGAAGGATCCAAAGGGCAACCGGGTCCCTCACACCAGGCAGGTACAGCTGTGCCTCTCCTCTCCTCGCAGCACTGGTGTGGAGACGGCTCTGCCCTGGATCATGCTCCTTGGCTCGTGTCCCCCCCATTCTGCGTCTGAAGCTGCTGCAATGCTGGACACTTCCAGTCAACATCAGGGAGACCAGGCAGACGACTCTGCTTTCGTGCACCCCTTCAGTATTTCTTGGGATAGAGCCAAGGGCCCTGGCTGTTCCCAGCACCCTCACTTCACCTGCCAAGGACTATGGAGCTGGAGCGGGTGGAGATACGGACCCTCCCCTCACTGCCACGCACCCCACCGCCCCGAGAACGGACGAAGCAAGGTGTCTGCATCCTGGTGAGGGACCACACAGGGCTGGGTGATGCAGAGCAAGGACTGGGCACGTCTGCTGGCCAGGGCACCGCACGGCAGCCTGCAGGCAGTGATGGGCCACGGGCCATACAGCATCACATGAAGAGCAGCAGGAAACATTAGCTGAGCTCTGAATTCAACAGCCAGGACTTATTCCTTGGCCTGTGCTCCCAGAAAGAGAGCGGTGTTTTCCACCGCCAGCACCAGCGACAGCAATTATCCTCCGTGCTACCCTCCCATCCCTATTTCACAGAGGATTAAGCTCGCTCTCTGACAGCACTCTTCCCGTGTATTGTGTCTCCATGGAGCAGAGAGGACCAAAGCACAGAATCTGGGTACGTTCCCCTGCCAAACCCTGTCCCCTGAGTTCAGGTTCTTTGGGCTTTTGACACACAGACTGTGCCTGCCAGGACCCAGCACGAAAAGCCTTGGCACACGTGAACCTTCACACTCCCATCAGGGCCTCACCTGTTTAAGAGGCAGCAACATGAACTCCTCTGTCTTGGACACCTCCACGAAGTGTTGGAGGACATACTTGTGCGCAGACTTGAGGAGGTCGCTGCACGAGTGCGTGTCAGCAAAACCCCGGATCCCCAGGCAGTTGGACGGGTCGAGCTGGCTGAGTAGGAACTTGCAGCAAGCATCCCGCACACCATTGAGCTGAAGCAGGCTGGCAGCAGGAAGAAGTGTCTGGCAGTGGAAAAGAATGGGGGAAAAGAGAGTTTCCAGGGCAAGGAAACCATTTTCACCCCTGTCCCACTGCAAGTCAACAACAGAACGGGCTCACTGAGCACCTTCCAGCACACAAGCACATAGAAGACAAAGCATTCTTTGCTCCCAACAGGACTAAGCTAAAGCAGAGCTGAGAAGGACACCCGCAACTCCCCACAGGGCCAGGAAATGGCAGGAGACGGGCAGATGCTCAGGACTAGACCTGGCCATCGCACAGTGCTCCGAGGAGCCATTCCCGGCCACAGCAGTCGCAGGAGCCGCACCTCTGGGTGCAGGGGAGCAGACGAACTCCCTGACCGCTGCCAGATGCGGGTGCCACCACCGAACAACAGCTGGAAGCGCTGAGCAGAGGGAGAGAAGACCCCCAGGAGGTAAGCCTTGTATAGAAGGGTTCTGTGGGGAAGAGAGATTTGGGGGGAAGCTCCTACCTGCACATTCCCCTCGCCCACCACAATCTCCGCCGTGTAAGCGTACTGCACCAGCTGCTCCAGGGCCTGGGGGTCAATGTCGTGCAGCGTCACGTGGGTCTGGCGGCTCTCACTCATCTCATCTGGGGCAACACAGACACCAGACATGAACATAGACCCACAGCAGGAACGGTTCCCCGCAGGAAGACTTGACCATGTATGGAACAAGCCGCATCCATTGCCACAGCCCAGGAAAGTCTCTGGCCCACCTCTTAGCAAGGAGAAGCAGCAGCATAGTTTAAGGAATGGGGTCCATGCCTGCAGGATGGGCATTAAGATACCTGGGCAGGGCGTTAGGGGCACAAGGCTTCATGGAAGGGAGCCAAATGAGGAGGAATATTGCCGCACTTGCTCATAGATTTGATACACAGGCACCATATTTCCACAGGGGAGGGCAGTGAGAAGAGGGAGCAGGACAGTAAAGGAAGGGGCTTGCAGGGAGGAGAGGGTTCGAAGAGCGGGGAGACCCGGGCCGTGGGGATGAGAAGATGCTGCTTGCTTGTGAACATGGCGTGGAAGTAGGGGCTGCAGGACGCCAGCACCACCTTGTGGGCCTTGATCTCCTTGGTGCCCACGTGGAGCACGATGTCGCAGAGCAGCCCGCGCTGCCGCATGCGGTTCATGCACACGAAGGCGTCGTGGTAGTGCCGCTTGGAGTTGTGCGAGATGCTGTGGCCGTCGCGGTTGAGGAGCTGCACGCCTCCTTCCATGGCTGCGGGGGGTAGATGGGCGAGCTCTCCTCGCTCAGCGGCGCTGACATGGGGGAAAACCAAAGCATTACCCGGACAGGAACAGTTCTAGCCCCAGACAATCCCCATGGTCCCCAAGTATACCTGCCACTGGTCAAAGACCCTGTGCAGGAACAGCTCTCGACTAACCAACCCCTGCCAGGGAAACATCACCCTGCTCATAAAGCAGCGATGAGGAGGAGACGGTCCCTGGAAGAACACAAGTAACGCGATGCTAAGACTCTGCTCTGCTCTGTGACGCTCCCTGCTTCCCAGCTGGGTTCATGCTTGTATTGATATCCCCCTAGCCTGCCTTCAGAAGGGTACTGCCCTACAATCCACGCACTCACACCAGCTTTCCTTGAAGTTGCACCATCTCCAAATCAGCCTAACAAGGTGCCTCTCCATGCAGTATCAGCAGAAGCGTTGATCTTGGAAGCCTCACCAGGGCATGCCAGTCCTGCCTTGATCAAACACAGCTTAAACAGACCACTAGAGACAGCGAACATGACAAGCCTGCTCAGCCTAAACAAAAAATAACCAGGGAAACCCACATCCTAAAAGGCACAGGTGATGTTAAGGACCAAAGCTCTTCAAGTGGTGGCTGTTCCCTTCCAGCTTCCAGCAGACGCTAGGAGCTGTGCAATGCATGCACCAGCCTTCAGAAGGTCAGCTCAGAGAGCTGCTGTGTCTGTCATGTCCACACGATTCAGGAGGATGAGGCAGAGGGCAAAGGCAACTGCAGCACAGAGCTCTGCAGTCCCAGTACAGAATCCTGCGCACGGGGGGTTCGACTCTTCCTGACATTTTATATTTCAGGCCTCTTTTCGGAGTGCGGTCGGGCATTCCCAGCTGGTCAGTTAGGGAACACGAAACACGCACTTCAACCTCCCGATTTCCGCTCCCCTCCAGTGTCCTCTACCCAGCCACATCCAGCCTCCCCGCAGCCTCAAGGCTGCACCAAACAGCCCTGCTCCAGCACCGCCGTCTCCCACCCTGCGCGAGCCCAGCAGGCAGCCCGGGCAAAGCAGAGCTCCTGGATCTCCCTGGAAGCAGCCCTGGATGCGCCCCTGGCTGTCCTGCAAGGGGTAACTTTGAACTTCAGGCAGTTTTGGTTTGATGAGGATGGCAGGAGGGTCAGACAGCAAAGACCAGAGATGCTGACTGGGACCCGATGCAGAACTCGGTCTGAACATACACAGCACGGAGCATGGCGCGGGACAGCCCTTCCACACAATCTGGGACAGCCCAGGCAGCGAGCAGGACTATAAACTCGACCCGCTCATAGAAAACAAAAAATTCCCCACTCAAGGAGTAAGGTCATTTATTTCTGCAAAGATGTTTTCTCTTTCCAGCCTGTCTGCACCTAGGCTGCTCACGGTGTTTCAAACAGCGTTTGACTGTCTCCCTGCCGGCAGCACCCGAAGGAAAGGTGGGGGGGTGAAGAGAGAATGACTGAGCAGCAGCAGGAAGAAGGGGGAGGGAGCAGGAGAAAAAGACAGCTTGGAGAAAGAAAACAGCCCGCGCGCTGCACTCGTGCACCTGCCCCCGCATCCCTGCGGCGAGAGGATCCCCTCAGCCTCTGCGCTCCCCACGACACCCACACGTCGCCAGCCTAAAAATAGAAACCCACCACGCTGTGCCTGCTCAGCCACGAGCGCAGCCATCTATTCGCTTTTAAATAGCAATTGTATCGTGTACTAGAGTCTGAGGGAGGAAAAAGAGATGAATAAACATCTTCCCTAAGCAGGAGAGAAGCCTGCAGTGCCCTCTTCCATTTGCATCATCCCGCGTGATGCGAGATTCCTCATCTCGCTGTCAGCGGGGAAGACTCACGGCCACACAACAAAGGCAACGCCTGTTGATGCTTTCCAGTAACGAGAGTGGGATGCTGTTCTGCGTTTGATGAGGAAGAAGAGCCCACGAGTTAACTGGCCTTCGCCTCCCACACCCCTCGGCTGAGCTTTTCAGAAAGCTGCAATGTCCCCAGGACACCCTCAGTGTGTTCATCCACCCGCGGGCACGCCGCTGGATGAGAGATGTCCACACTACGGTGGTTTATAATTCTGAGCACCTCTACCCGGCCTCAAGAGCTCCTTTGCCGGACCTGGTTTAGCGGCAGAGAGCAGACAGTGCTGGCCTGCCTTCATCCCCCTCCCTAGCTGCAAGCCTGAGGTTTCTCCTGATCCGCTCGAGCTGGTTTATCTTTTTAACGCGCTGCTGAGCGTACTTCTCCCCATCAGTATTGAAGTCATGCCCCAGCCCTAATTGCAAGCACTCGCCTCTCCTGGGCGCTGGTAGCAAGGGACAGGAGCTCCCGGCTCCACAGCAGCAGGAGGACCCAGGGGGGACAAGAAGAGCAGCGGAATGATGGGACTGGTGCTCCTTGTGCTCTCGGAGACCGGTGAGGAAAGGCTTCCCACCCCGGCCAGGCGCGGGGTAGCACCGGGGGGGAGGCACAGAGGCACAACAGACTCCAGGCTGCTGTAGCCGACGCGTTGGCATCGCAGTAATCAAACGCATTTCCAAAGCGGGTCGGAAGCGCTGGGCGCTCTTCCCAGCCCTGCCACTGAGTCATTGCACATTCCGGGCAAGTACAAACTCAGAGAGTGACAAGGGTGACATTATCTTTCCTTGCAACAATTCCCTGGCCAAGAGGTAGAGACCAGCTACTGCACACTCCCCTCTCCACCCACACCACCCCGCTGTCACCGGCGAGGGCTGGCACGCTCCTCAGAGCTGGGAAGAGCTCGACCGAAACACCACCGGTACCCCCTCGCCCACGCCGCTGCGCAGCCCCCCGAGCTACACCACCCCGTGCCGCTCAGCCTCCGACACGACCGAGCAGGACCGGGGGGAGAGACCACCCCAGCCGAGAGCATCCCCGCACCAGGGGACAGCCCACAGCTGGCCTGACCCACGGGCAGCCCGGACCAGCTCTGCTCAGTGGTTTTTCGCTACAGCCTCAGCGATCCCTCCCCTGGAGAGCCGCTCACCCACCGACCACCCCGGGAAAAGGTCACCAACCTGAAGCGCAGGCAGCGCTGGTCTAAGGTCTGCGGCGGGCACAGCCCCTTCGGTCCCGCTTCCCCGTGTCCCCTCCGCTCCGCAATGACTTGTCCCCACCTTTTGCTTTAACGGGTCAGAATATGATCAGTAGGGAGAAAGGAAAAGGGCACTGCTGCCTGCGCCGCTCCCCGTGCCTGAACTCTCAGCCTCACTGGCAGCACTAAATATTCCTTATTTCCATCTAAAACTTCATTCCCAGGAAATCAACACCCACGGGCGCTGCTAAGACGTAATTAATAGGGAACAGTGCCTGGGCCACAAGAGACAGTAACGCCGTGTCCGGAGCTGCAGCGGGGGGAAGCGAACACAAGCCCACTTCTGTGGAGCGTGCAGCAGCACGAGCACACGTGCTACGCATCAGCTATAACGGATGCGGTGGCTGACTTGTAATAACTCTTAGGTTATGACAAAAAAAAAGAAGGCAGCGTTTGTTTGGCTCCTATGCGACAGAGCGTGGCCATGCATAACAGCTCTGTTAATTAATGCAAATGATCCCTGCCCAAAGGGAGGTCTGTTCTCTCCGCACAAAAAACCATATTTTGCCGAGAGTGAAAAGAAGCGTGCCGAGCAACGAACAGGGAACGGAGTATCCTCCAGGGAGAAGTCCGGAGCCTGCCCCTTCCCCAGGAAGGCCCTGGAGAATGGCTTTTTGTTGCCAGCCTGGATGGAGATTTTGTGTCTGCCAGGCTAGCCCGGAGACTGCAGAGACACATCCTGTGCAGCTGGTCAGACGCTGGGGACGAGCCTTGCTGTGGACAAGGTGACATCCCCTACCCTAAGGCCTGACGTGCCCTAAGGCCTGACATACAATCATGCTTGAATCCGCCACTTCCACGCGTGCCCCATCCCTGTGCTGATATCCCAGTACCGCTTTTCTGGTCGATCAGCTGCAAAGCCCTGGTCTGTGCGCAGCACTGCGTCTCCCATGGAAGTGCTGCCGTTGGACCTTCTGGATCAGACATGAAGTCCTCGCTGGCACTCACCGGGCAGAGGGCAGCTTGGTCAATGAGGTGGCACCATGTTGCCAGTTTCCCTTTCAGCGGAGTGGTTCCCCCCCTTCCTTGGTATCGGGGATCCACCTCCCAGGCAAGATGTCCTTTTTTTGCCTCTGTCCTCCTCCAGCTCTGTCCCCAGGCAGGACGGGGCTGCTGGCAGCGCTACTCTGTTGTGCCCAGCAGCTTCAGGTCTCCATTCCGAGCCGGGAAGCCAAAGCAGTGCCCTCCACAACAGCACAGCGAAACTCACCCCGGGGCAGAGCCACAGCACGGAGCCCTGGGGGAGAAGGAGCTTGACACTGGAGTCAGAGGGAGGAATCACTGCTTACGAGTGCAGCTCCACCTCCCCTACACCAGAAATCAGAATTCTTATTTTTAACCCCTCTCAGAGGAGTGACAGGCTATTTGCCAGTAAGCAGCCCCCTGCAATTCAGCGCTCCCCCAAAAGGACTGAATCGCAAAATACACATTAAAGGTCAGGGCAGCCTAGGGGGGCACAGGCAAGCCCCTGCCCAGCTGCGTGGGTGTCCGCACAAGCACAAGCTGCTCCCGTCCTCCTGGGAGCAGGGCTGGGAGGAAGATGTGCTCCCGTGTTCTGTTCCTCCCCTTCCAGAGCCCAGGGACGCAGGCAGCTGAGCCGGCAGTAACAACAGCTGCCGTTGTGCTGTTGCAGAGTAAGGCCGCTCACACAGCTCACACCAGCAGCCGGAGATGCAGCTGAGCACGCTGCAGGCCTGCAAATTTTCCCCTTCCTTCTCGTTTTGTGGCAGCCTCGTTAATTTGGCTGAGCTATCCCTTTTAATGAACCCTGTCCACAGCTCTGAAGCCCGCGTCTAAAACCCAGCTTTCAACGACCAGACAACCAGCAGTGTTTTCACAGCAGTAATCCCCTTGCAGTAGGCATCTCCAAGACACCAGGGCTGTTTTCAGAAGCTGCAGCAGATATACGCTACCTGCCCTCACACCGCTAACTTGGATGGCCCAAATTCTTGCTTTGTTCAGGGGGCCCGGCACTGCCCACGACAAAATATATTGCATTCCTACCTTTCCTGCTCCCTTCCCACAAGAAATACAACCAAAGAGGGTTGGAAATCATCCAGTGGTGCATGCCCAGGACTCAGACGCAAAGGCACTAAATCCAGGCAGTTGTCCCCACCAGGACCTGTCCCACGAGCACCACCGATACAGACAGAAAACTCCGTTCTCTCAATACAGCGCTTTGGGGTTCGGTCCCTTCTCAGCCCCTGTAACACCTCCCCTGCATCCAGGGAATTCAAACAGGCACTGCCAGCGTGCAGCAGCTCACACAGTGTTTTTAATATAAGATTAACTGTGTGTTCAGCCTAGAAGAGCCAGCGACCGGGAGGAAGCAGAGGGACCGAGCAGTTCCGGAGCAGCGAGCGAACTGCAGGTCCAGGCATCGCTGCTGGGCTGGCGGATTTACAGCCGCACCCGTACGGAGGTCAGGACTGCAAACACCCATGGAAGCGTGACGTAACGCGGCAAGCGGAGCTGTCATTCCCGGCCCCAGCTCTGCCTTCAGAGGTGGCAGGAGGGACAGGAGAATTAGGAAGCTGGCAGTTTCAGACAGCCAGATCGAAGACTCGGACACCTCGCTCCCGACAGACACGGTGGAGGACATGAGCACGCCAGGAACGCACGACCGGGGTGAGCTGCCAGGAGAGGTCTGGAGCACGTACCTCAGCCCCAAACACTTCTCTCCACCTCCTCTCCTCTCTCTCCTGTTCCCGCTGCCAGCACGGCCCCTGACCACACGTCTGCCTTCTATTCCCCTGCTACGGACGGGAGGGCGAGGCGTGTGCCACCCCTGAGATCGGTGGAATCCATCTGCTCCGAGCTAGCACGGGGCACGGCAGACAGCGCTGAGTCTGCAGGACCGAGAATCCCCAGCTCTCCGTAGGGTTTGGGGTTGTTTTGGTTTTTTTTTTTAATGAATTAGGCACAACTGACACGCACCGAATCCTCCTGTCTAGACATCTGCAGAGAAGTGACAAGCTGCCAGCGAGGATGTGGAGCCTTTGCAAGGGGGTGGGGAGGACGGGGGATAACTGCACACGGTCGCCAGCTCTACAGCCCAGAGACGGTGCTGGCTGCGGGCGACGAAGGGCACGCAGCACATTGCCCTACTCAGCCTCTTCCAGCAACCCAGCGGGCTGCAATCAGTCGGCTCAGGTGCACGCAGAAGGCTGGAGGTCTTTTCTAACTGAATTTTCTCTCCCCATTGCTCCTGGGGAGTTTTCTTTGGAAACTCAGCTCAAAGTTGCTCTCAGCCACCCCAGCTCACGCTCAGGAGCGCTCGAGCTGAGGGAGGAGGGAGCGCAAGGCAGAGCCTCAGTGCCTGCACTGGGACATTCCCACACCTCAAAGAGATAAAGCGTGTCCAGCCCGCCCAGCGCCCGGGTACAAAGTCTTCTCCCTCTCTCAGGCACACTTTGCACAGGCTCTTCCCGCAGACATCTTCAAATTCAGCTTTTGCCTTCAGTGTTTTGCACGCAGGGGATCACAGCAGCTCCAAACGGGGCTCTGCGGCTGAGGGATTTAGAGCCACCTGTGCTAACATTTGGGTCACTTTAAGTAACTGGTTGTAAGAGTCAGGACCCGCATAGGTTTGGGGCTGCCGAATTCCCAGGTTAAGGAGAAAAATACATGGAAACTAATTCATGCCTTGAGATGCTCAGCAAAATGTGCAGGTCTCCAGCTGCACTGGGATTAGACAGCAGTTCCTACAGCCCAGCACAAAGCACACCAAAATCTAAGCGAAAGGAGCCCTTCGCCTCTGCCAAGGACTGGAAATGTGGGTCATGTCCTAATTCCCCCTTCCCAGTGTCCCCCAGCAGACACAGGAGAGGAGCTACTGTCACATCCAGTGCTCTTTTATGGCACAAGCAGTGCTGAACCCCTACACATAGGCATCAAGCAAGTCTCCTCTGCAGGCAGCCGAGCGACAGTTAACAGCTTCAGCTGCACTATCCATCCCCGTGGGATTCCTGATCTCCCTGCAGCCTCCTCCGTGACAGACATCTCTGTCCCCAACTCATTTTTCAGACAGGTAAACAAGAAAGACGAGAGCGCTCGGGTCACTGGAGGCAGCCCGTGTCAGAGGGTCTCAAGATTCCCGGCTGCTGGGCTTGCCCAGGAGCTGCCTGCCTGCAGCATCCTAGCAGCTACTGAACAAGGAATCATGCCCGACACCTGCCCGCCGTGCAAGGTGATGGTGTCTCGAGTAGCTGGCAGTGGGCCAGTTCAGAATGGGCCGTTACCGCTCGGCAACAACTCCCTGACGTCAGACGAGAGCGATGAATCCGGTGAGACTCAGCACGAGCTACCGCTTGGCTTCTAAAGGGAAAGTTGACTCCGTGACACGAGGCAGCATGGCCCAGCAGCTCCAGCAGCAGACCAGGAAAGAAGCAAAAAGCATTTAGGGTTGGACTAGATGACCCACAGAGGTCCCTTCCAACCCCTACCATTCTGTGATTCGGTGATTTGGGTCTGCTGGCTGCAAACGGGCACGTGGATCTTCTACAGATGGATCAGCCCGGGAACGATGTCGCTGCCCGGTGAAGCACTGCCCACGAGCGGCTCTCCGAACCGCGAGGTCACCAGTGCGGGTCACCAGCTGCGCCCTGGCCTCGTCCCTCTCGCAGAGGCTGCAGCTCTGCGGGCAGCTTGCGAAGCCTCCTGCCCGCCTCCATCGCAGCGCGGGTCAGCAGATCTGCATTCCCCCTTCCGAACAAGCTCCGTGCTTCGCACTGTGGAGCAGCGGGAGCCTGTTTTCAAGCCACAAAAAAATCAAGAGAATTCCCTCACATCTTCTTGGAGGCACCATGTACATAAAAACTGAGCTATGAGGAGCATGTGACATAATGGCCTTGAGCTTGCTGGTGGGCTGGGGGCCTGCCAAGGCCAGCGGGTCCCAGACCCTGGGAATTTCAGCTGAAGGAGCTCGAATTCCTGTCCTTGAGGAGTCACATCCCTTAGAGGAGGCGGCGTGGTTTGCAGCTGGTTCTAGCAGGCCAGGCAGAAAGGCTGAAGCCCCTCTTGCTACCAAGTCCAGCTTGCCTCAGGGTTTGGAGGCAAGGCTCCAGCACCCGAGAAAGTACAGAAGCCCGCACTGAGACTTCAGCGTGGCCGTTCCATTTTTGAGCTGCTGGGCCTGAAATGCAGCAAAGCAAGACAAGGACCCACAACCGTCTCACCAGCAGATCTCCAGTCTTCAGAGCACGCCTGCCTCGATTTCCACGCGCCACCCCACCTTCAGAGACCCAGACTGATGATGCTGATGACAGCAAGGGCGGATGGCCACCAGACGGGCTGGCAGAGCAAAGAGCTTCCATTGCCACCCTCACCAAGCTGACCTCAGCTGACAGAAGGCTCAAGGGACCTCTTGCCCTCAGCACAAGAAGGACATGGAACTGTTGGAGCGGGTCCAAAGGAGGGCTACAAAAATGATCCGAGGGCTGGAGCACCTCTCCTATGAGGAGAGGCTGAGAGAGTTGGGCTTGTTCAGCCTGGAGAAGAGAAGGCTGC